TCATCTACCCGAGAGACAGCACAGCAGCAACTGGCATGTCATAACAAGCAGCCTGTATTCAGACCAAAATGACAGGCACTCCAAGCATCAACCTACTATTACAAATTGTCATCTTAAGTGCAGTTGCTTTGTTCACATGTGTCGGTATATATAGTTAGGATGAGAACCATTTCGATTAACTGCTGGAATCCAAAATCTTCTGAAGATTCTCAGGATCGTTGCCTTACCCATTTTGTACATATAACTGAACGGATTCCCTGTCATGTTTCCTAGCTCTTCTCCTTGCTCTATTTTCATTGTGTAGTCCTCAAGTTCTTGTTTTCCTTTTAGTTGTATTATACCTTTCTATTTGTATTTTTTCTTTTGAGTTCTTATACTAGGGAAACTATTCAATATTTACCCATGTGTGTCTGGTTTATTTCACTTATGAGCATATCTTCAAGTGGCATTCACTTAAATATAATGTTAATCTCTTGGAAGAGAAAGTAGAAGGAACTCTTGGAGACATCTGGTAGGCAGAGATTTCACGAACAAAAATCAAATTGCACCGGTTATACTTTAAAGAAGTAAGAATTGCGTCCTCCTGTCATTGAAAAGTTTTTGCATGTCTAGAGAAATTACCAACAAAAAGACAAGACAAGACACAAATTGGGAAAAAATCTTAACTAAGAAGCACTCAGAAAAAAAATCTGCTCTCTATAATTTATAAATAACTAAAAAACATTAGTGCCACAAAATTGAAGGACCGAATCCTCAAAAAACATCCAAAATGAGCATACAATTCTCAGAGGATGAAATTAAAGAAGCAAAAAATATATGGAAAATGCTTCATATCACTAGCCATCCGTGAAATGCAAATTAAAAGAACACTGAGATATCATTTCACCCCAGAAAGAATGGATATCATAAAGAAAGCAACCAACAACAAATGTTGGAGATGGTGTGGGGGTAAAGGAACCCTATTTTAGTGCAGTGGGAATGTAGCTTTACTTTTTATACCTCATGTTTACTATTAGAATATCCATGTTTGTTGGACAATAACAGTTTCATCTTTTGTCTAAGGTCTTTTATTCTACAGATAGTGATGGTAAGCTTAACTATGTCTGTTTTTAGGATAGTAATATCATTAAGCTTCTCTTCTGGATGTTTAACAACTAAAGTTTGTAGACAAATAATGAGAGAGATAGATGAGTTACAAGCATTGTCAATATTTTTTCCTTAGTCCTTCAAGGTCAGTGAGGAGTCAGGACATAAGAGAAGCTCTGTTGTGATATCCTATAATAAGTGGTGTCCCAAGTTTCCTGATCAAGGAGATTATGGGGCCACAGTGGAAAGTGATCAATGATGTAGAGTATGCCTAAGGGGAGTCACCAAGAGAGAAAAATTCTCTTAGGCTTCCACAGAGAGCAAACTGGTCAAGCAATGGCCATGGCTCATCGAGATGGCTGACACTGAGATAAGATTTACAAGTTGCTGTGCATGGTTCCAGGGTAAAACCTGAGGGGATTTGACTGATCTTATTAGATAGTAAAAGTTACATTTTCATTATATACATCTTGCTTTAACTTGGGTTTAACCATTGAGCACAAAAGTGTAACCATGAGGTATAAAAAGTAAAGATATATCAATATGCTGAGCTATAAAAGGCTCAAGTCAACAACTTCGGACAATTGCCAGTTGTGTTGATAACTCAGTACTTTTATGGACTATTGAGCTATATTAGGTTATTTTGTTGCATTCACGTACCTACAGTGTTTGGACTATCATCAAGTATGAAAAGATCCTTTAAAGATTTCTCCAAATACAGCTTCTCTAATAGCAATGGATCACCATATCTGACAAAACACAACAAAATGGGGGATATAAAAAAGGACTGTTGTTCTTGTGAAAAAAATATATGTGTATACAAGGTAGGATAGATATACAGCTACTTTTTCTTAGTTCAATGTGAAGAAACATTTTTACTAGTATTGTTTAGAGTAGATATCCTGTCTACATCTTGTCCTCTGAATAACTACTATCAAAACCACAAAACGCAATGTGTTAATTATTGTAACTTGTCCTAATAACCTGCTTTGAATTTGTTTCATGGCTTTTTAATCTGTTTTTATCATTAAAATGAATAAAAGATAAAAAATATGCAAAATAGAATTGGGCCTCCATGGCCTGCTGGGCTGGTCCTGCACCTGGGGCACATTATATTGAGGATTGAGACTGGGCATGGTGGTGCACAGTTGTAATCCCAGTGCTTGTGAGACTGAAAATTGGAGAATCACTAGGAATCTGATTTTTGTTGTTACACATTGGAGGCCCTCTTATATTTGCACTAAAATTATAATAAAAAATGTATTTGGCCTCCAAAATTCAAAGAGCCAATGCAAAAATGGGCATCTGAGATGAGTAAATAACTTCACAAATGAAGAAAAACAAATGACAAAAAAAATGTATGAAGTGTTCAAGATCAGTTGTGTTTCAAGAGATACAAATTAAGATAACAATGAAATACCATCTCACTTCAGAAAGAATGGCTATCATATGGTAGTCAACCAGTGTGGAATATTTGAGAGACTGTGGAGAAAAAGGAACTGTTGTCCACTTTTGGTGGGAATGCAGGCTAGTATAGCCATTATGGAAATTAGTATGGATAGTGCTCAAAAAACTAGGATTGGAAGTCCCACTAAAGCCAGCATTTACCCCTCGGTATTTTTCCAAAAGAACTGTTATCATCATACCACAGTGATATATTTGCATCCATGTTTACAGCAACACAGTTTGTCATAACTCAATGTTGGAAATTACTTCAATGCCTATCGGCTGAGGCATGGATAAAAGTACATGGTATTTGTACAGCATGGTGTAGCATTCATCCATAAAAAAAGATAAATTTGAGCATCTTGTAGATAATTGGACGCAGCTAAGGACATTATAAGAGAAACATATGAGATCTACATGTGCAAACATCATGAAATCTCAGTAGAAAGTAAAAACTAGGATAAGCAAAAGGATAAAGATAATAAGGTAAAAAGGTATATTTAGGTGTATGTACAGAATAGATTGTATAATTGTACTGTCAATTTCGCTGGTGTTTTGAAAGGTGCTGTTAGTATTCAAATATTTTTTTGTTTGTTTTTGTTGCCCAGCCTAGAGGTGTGCCTGGATTGGCATGTGATGTTGTGGATTGAACAGCTTGCCAAAGCTTGCCTAAACTGTTACTTTAGACCACAAGCTATCTCGCCAGCCCCTTGTTTTTTGAATTTCTCACAAATTTTTGATATGATTTTTATTTTGCTCTTTCTTGAAATGTATCTTGCACGTTTATATCTAGTAGCCTGAGCAACTAATTTAAAGATAGAATCATGTGATACAACAACTATTTTTGAAATTTGGATCCAGAAGCCAGTGGGTGTGCCCAGCACTGACTGGAGCCTCCCACCTCCAGCCAGCGGCCTTGTGTGGAACCCGTGGCCCACCTGAACCACCCTCTGGCCAGTGGTCAGGTATGGAAAGGAATCCTGCAGAGAGGGTAGAGGTGAAAGCCAGCCAGGTAATCCAGGACAGATCAGCTTCCTAGTGGGGCACAACGGGTTCACCTCCACGGACTGCGTTAAGAAGCTCAGAACAGCAGCCAGATCCAAGCGAGGGTGAACTCAACAAGTATGAACTTGGTAGATCCAGACCTGATAAACAGAGGCACACTACTAGACCCAGATCTATTAGAGCATCCTCTCTCTCTTGATCCAGAGAGGAGGCATAAGGTATCTAGGGTGAAAGTGCCTGGAAGTCTCCAGGTACTGCAAGGGTATCAGACAGATCTTGGGGGAACTCATTTAAATACAAATTCCCAACTTTATTTCTGCTTAGCTATGTAATCATAATGCTTTCCCTTATGGTCTAAAATACAAACCCATTAATTAGAAAAGTTTGTCATTTACTAAATCTCACTACCCAATATTAGTGTTGCTAATTGTAGTGCTGTAAACACAAAACTGAAACTTCCTTGACCACAGATTCTCCCTTGGCAATAGTATCAGTAGGAGCTAAGGTAATGACTACACCAAATCTCTACACCAAAAGTCAGAGGTCAGTGCTATATAAAATAACAGAGAAAAGGAACAAAATGCATTCTCAGGCCCTGAGCCCTCACAGTAGAAATGCAGGAGACAATAAAATAGAACAAATTGGAAAGCAAACTCCTAAAATCTCTAAAATAATAGCTACTGAGCTAGTGAAAATCTGCAGACAGGTATAGAGGAAATCAGATTAGAAGTAAACTCTGAAGCAACAAAGAAATGATAATTACTAAATTCTTCTTAAAAAGACACCAATAAAAGTTAGAAGAAGAACCAAAAAGTAGAAGAACCAAAACTCCACAAATAAGAATGGAAAGAACCCATCAAATAGGGCAAACATTTAAGTGCAGGAGAGAAATAAGTATCCAACAACAGAAAAATAACATGCCAAATGTAAGTCAATACATTTCAGTTATAATCACCATTGTAATGGCCTCAAATCACCAATTAAAAGAAAAAAGACTGGCTCAGTAAATTAGGAAGCAGAATCCATCAATATGCTGTATACAAGAAAGACACTTAGGCCATAAAGAAATTCGCAGT